AAAAATTTAGGAGAGTTAATTTTGTACAAATTAGGACTGTAATCTCACCTCATCTAGTAGCTAAAGAACTTACTCCGTACTCAAATTTGGACATATGCCCCAACTTCAGCTACAAATTAATCCTATCAGCAACTCTAAACATCACACCAACTAAAATCAACCAACTCTAACGATAAAAGTTTAATTGCTCCAGCACACTGTTTAACCTAGGCTGCATTGCTGCTCTTCTTCTTGACGAATTATTGTTATTGGATTCTTGATTTTCAGGCCAAAATCTTCCAGAATCGCGGTGACGATAATCGTGCCATACTCTAATGGTTCTTTTCCCTCTTCTTGGTGAAACTGAAGCTTTTCGTTTTGGTGCAGGTGGACATGTTGTCATTACTGGGATTTTGGATTCCAAAGAAGTTGGAGTCTTAAATCCATCATCATCATCCTTTGGTTCTTCTTCCTTCAGTAATATTACTGTCTCATTGACAACGCCATATTCTGTACGATCTTGTACTGCAATATCTGGACACCCTTTAGAATCTTGCTGCAATATTACAGGTTCAGATTTAATATCGTCATCTTTTTGATGATCTGGTGTAATATCTGAACACCCTTTAGAATCTTGCATAGGCCGCAATATTNTTTATTTGGAGGATTATCCTCGATGAGCTCTTAATTTCCTACTTGAGCATGTACTTTACGTGTGCCTGCATCGCATGGATGATTTGCGAGCAGGATATGTGTTTATTTATGGAACGGGCCGAACGCCTCGGTGAAAATAGATGCATCTATGGTTCGTGCCGCTCGACCCTCGGCAGTGCACAGTTTACATTTCTGTTGGAGCGGGCCGTCGCCTCGGTGTGATTTGCGCATGTTTATTTGTTACTTGAAAATGGTAAGCGTGGAATTGGCCCTACGTGGCTTAATATGAACCGATAAGATAATAAAGAATAGACTTGGGAAGCCCTCGATTTAATGTTGAAGGTGTTTACCTGTTTATTTGGTCTCACAGCTAGGACTTCTATATAAATCCATGATTATCCTCACACTTATAGAATATTGTTAATGGACCTCTAGTGAGTGTCGAAGTTGGCCATCTCGTCCCTACCCCTTCGGGATTAGGCGGGATACTCACTGAGTACATGTTGATTACGTACTCATACTACACTTCTGTGCATTTTTGTTGCACAGGTATATCTTGCATTAGATGGCAACACGGATGATTTGGGGACTAGGTGAGCTGCATTGTTCGAGACGACCCGCAGCTAGTGTAGTTCCCTTCTAATATGTCATTTATTTATTCTCTGTCCACTGTATTTCGGACAAATATTGTATTTTATTTTCCTTATCAGTAGTGGCTCATGCACTTGTGACACCGGGTTCTGGGATGGTGTTCTTTGAAAGGTATGTATTAATAATTATTTCTTCCTTTGTGTTTAAACAGAGATTGTTTTACATATGAAAAATGGAGGTAAAACTCTTAGATTTTTTTAAATTATTAAAAGAGAACTTAATGGATGAGTTAGTTGGCTTGCCTAACAACGGTGTCTGGCGCCATCATGACCCGTAGTGAATTTGGGTCATGACACACTCCTTCTTGCCAACATGCAATACACCAAATTCAAGCATGGGTTGTAATGCATTATCCTTTTTGGCGTAAACACAACTTCTGTAAAAAATATCATGATTACCCAACGTCAACATA